CTATGATGATAACTTATGACAATTGCAAGGGTAATCTTACTCTTTAGAATCTTCAACCTGTTCTCCCACCGTTCCTCGCCTCACTGCATCGACATTTTGTAAGGTTGATCAATATTGAGGTTGTGTTTTCAAATGCCTAATTTCAATATGTAAAACAGCGGGGTGACGAAAAATCATTGCAATCAAACAATCCAAGATTGAAAATCCGGTGGAACACGACAGCTGTCCAAAGTTGTTTGGAGGCTTTCATAACGTTAACAGTTTTTTTGAATTTTATTAATTGGCCGTCTATTATTAAACATATCGTTCGGTGAACCAATCGTGTAATAATGCTACACAGTCTTGTTATGAATCCAGACCTTTTTTGGCTGAAAAAAGTTGAAAGGACAGACACAAACAATAACAGTCTTTTCATACTTGAGGTAATTAGAATCTAAACATTATGTCTGTCACTAGCCTTAAAATTCTGTTTTTGTTTTCATGGCTAACATAGTCCTTACGGTCGATACCATGGTCTGCAAAGCAAGAGTTCGAGTTTGTAGGCCCCGGTTGTTGGAAAGGTGGATAACGGTATCCACCGGATAAATCACTATACAGCGGATAGCGCGGTTTGTTTTGTTAGCACTAATCCACTGGATAGCAATTTATCCGGTGGATAGCGTTATCCAGCCTTCGAACAACCAGGACTAGCACTAAATGCCGGAACCATGAAGGATAAGTTATTGGTTACGGTCTTAGGTAAGACACTTCACTCTAACAATGTCTCTTTCCCCTAAGGAGAGACGCCATGCCACGCCACGCGACAAATTAATCCTAGCTTGAACCCGCGAACCAATCTAAAAACAACACTTGTCAACTTCAAAAAAATCCGTGATTTCTAAACTCTGAGCTTTCGATATCGTCATGTGATATTCGTGACCACGTGACCATATCATGATTTTCGATATGGTCACGTCTTTAGTGGATACCTTGTTTTGACAAGTACCAATTTCGATATATTAAAATTCAGCCTAAAACATGCAACAGATCTCAGCACGAGACTCTCGGAAATCACTACAGAGTTTGTGGGGTTTTTTCCCCGAAACGTCGTGCTGAGGTCTATTGTTTTAGGCTAAATTTTAATATATCGAAGGGCCACCAAGGACACGGATTTTCAATATCAAAGATATACGTTGTAAACGAAGACTGCACGTCTCTGTCAACCTATTAGCTGAAGTACGTTCGCCCTGTTGCACGACTCCGTCGTCGTCGTCGTCGTTTGTACAGGCCCACGGGCAATACCGCTAGCCATGAAAACCATGAGAAAATCAATTAAGGGGGTCTTATACTCTCAGATATAAATTTTTCTCCAAAAAAACATTTTTTTTGGAACATGAAGATTCAACATCCCTGTCCATTTGTAAATCGTATTTTGAAACGATTTTCCTCTA